GTATTTTATAAGTTTATAGTAAACAGGAGAATTTCATTATATAAACAGCTGGGTTTTCTATTTCCAAATATGGGGAATCCACCTTGGTATGTTCCTTCGGCTCAGCAGCTATTGGTGCAACATGAAACCTGCCCAGCACCTAACGGCCTCGTTTGAAGGTCTGCTACTTCCTTCTACATTCCATTTTAAGACTTTGACCCAAGGCAGACCCATGACTTCACCACCAGATAATTTTTTTTTTTATTTCCTCACCATCCTCTGCTTCCCATCTAACACCTAGATTCTAGCTTGATGAAGAGTTTGAAGTAAGCTTGTGCATTTTGGTTGACCTAATAAAGGTACTTTAAGGTTAAAGCTATGGTTTTCCCAGTATTGATGTATGGAAGTGAGAGCTGGACCATAAAGAAGGCTGATCACCAAAGAATTGATGCTTTTGAATTATGGTGCTGGAGGAGACTCTTGAGAGTCCCATGGACTGCAAGAAGATCAAACCTATCCATTCTTAAGGAAATCAGCCCTGAGTGCTCACTGGAAGGACAGATCCTGAAGCTGAGACTCCAATACTTTGGCCACCTCATGAGAAGAGAAGACTCCCTGGAAAAGACCCTGATGTCGGGAAAGATGGAGGGCACAAGGAGAAGGAGACGACAGAGGACGAGATGGTTGGATAGTGTTCTTGAAACTACCAGCATGAGTTTGACCAAACTGCGGGAGGCAGTGGAAGACAGGAGTGCCTGGCGTGCTCTGGTCCATGGGGTCACGAAGAGTCGGACACGACTAAACGACTAAACAACAACAACAACAACAATAAAGGTACATCGCTAACAAAGATTTTACAATAAATGGAGTGTTTTATAATAAATGCATAAATTTTTAAAGGATCTTATGGTTTAATAAGGAAGTCTATTGCCTAGTTCCTCTTTCTTTCTGCTGCTTCTAACAGGCCTGTTGAAAAGGAAAAGAACAAGGAAACCACATCCTTTGTGGGTAAGTAAAGATTCAAAAAAAACAAAATTAAGCCAAGCAGCAACAGCACCACACACACAATAACTAAGTATCCATGAAAGCCGGTGAAAAAGTGTGTCTCAACCAGGATGCAGAATGAGAATATCAAAATGACTATGTTTTGCCTTGTTTTGGATTTGTGTGATCCTGAAAAGGTCTTCACAATTGCACCTCCCTATGTTCTGAGCTCGACCGCTCAAGATGCTTTAGAGGTTAATGGGAACAGGAACTGGGAACAGGGAGGTTCTGTAGAGCAGTGGCAGAAAATCTGCTGCGCATGCAGGAGGCCCCAGCTTCAATCCCAGGCCTCTCCAGCAAGGTCTGAGAGAGGCCCCTGCCTTCTGAATTCCTGGACAGCTGCTGCCAGTCAGTGTAGACAATACCGAACTAGATGGACCAATGGTTTGACTCAGGTGGCGCTGTGGTCTAAACCACAGAGCCTAGGACTTGCCGATTGGAAGGTTGGCAGTTCGAATCCCCATCACGGGGTGAGCTCCCATTACTCGGTCCCAGCTCCTGCCAACCTAGCAGTTCGAAAGCACATCAAGTGCAAGTAGATAAATAGGTACCACTCTGGCGGGAAGGTAAACGGCACTTCTGTGCGCTGCTCTGGTTTCACCAGAAGCGGCTTAGTCATGCTGGCCACATGACCCGGAAGCTGTACGCCGGCTCCCTCGGCTAATAAAGCGAGATGAGTGCTGCAACCCCAGAGTCGTTTGAGACTGGACTTAACTCTCAGGGGTCCCTTTAAACTTTACCGGCATCTTCCTATGTCATCTCTTAGACAAGGTGGGGAAGAAATTTGTAAATACTGAAGTGGGCCAGGGAAAAAAAAGAGTAAGAGAAAACAAGAGAAAAGAAAAATAGGATAGGGTGCCAGATGGTGAAAATATGATACAAAGAGAGGAAGTAGAATTGAAAGGACTGATGCCGTCACAAGACACCCCACACCAATATGTGGCACTCAAATCTTCCTGGAGAGATCAGACGTCAGGGTCTATTCTCATAACCAGTACTGGGTGAAAAGCCTGTTTTCTTTCTTGGACTGTCTTCCAAGTGAGACAGTCGCACACACCTGATACTACACATTGGGTTCAAATTTTAGTGTGCCACCAAAATTTTGGCATTCCGAAAGCCCCTCTTCACCTACAGTAAAAGGTAGACATGGCTGGGTTTCCATGGGGAGGATGAAATACTGAGTAGGGTGGTTGTGAGAGCAGCCCTGTGACGACAGACCTGCGATTCTTCAGATGATGATGGACTACCCCTCCCATCATCCCTGATCATTGGTCATGCTGGCTGGGGCTGATGGGTGTTGGAGTCTAGTAGCATCTAGAGGACCAGAGTTCCTCCTGTGGAATAGGCCAGCAATGTATCCCTTACTATAAATTGCAACCGTTCAGATCAATCTGAAATAGCCATGGATTAGCAGTGGAGACTGGATCTTGGGAGAAGCACAGTGCAGCAGGGCTGCAGGAACTATTTAACAAAGAACACTCCTATGTTCTTCCTCTCTGTATATTTGCCCATGCAAATAATAGCACCATTGGATATACAGTGGTACCTCGGGTTAAGTACTTAATTTGTTCCGGAAGTCCGTTCTTAACCTGAAACTGTTCTTAACCTGAAGCACCACTTTAGCTAATGGGGCCTCCCGCTGCTGCCGCACCGCCGGAGCCCGATTTCTGTTCTCATCCTGAAGCAAAGTTCTTAACCTGAGGTACTATTTCTGGGTTAGCGGAGTCTGTAACCCAAAGCGTATGTAACCTGAAGCGTATGTAACCCGAGGTACCACTGTATTGGGCAATTTTGTTGGTACAGAGGTAGGATAATATTGGGTATTCATGTCTCACCACTACATATATGTCTTGCATCTGAGGCAGTAACTCATTGGCAGAGCACCTGGTATAGCTGCCATGGTCAGTCCCTCTTTTAGTCTCCAGCAAAGTACTGTAGGCTTGGAAAGACAGCGTGGCAGTGCGGAGCAGTGGGCATGAGCCATAAACTGCAAATTCTCAGCTTTGAATATTTCACTTTATTTTTAAAAGGTGGTTTTAGCACTTTTAGAACCAGATATATGAGAACAAAACTGGCAGACCCTATTCCCTCCATCATTTTGTGACCAACTGTCCTGCATCTGCCTGCCTGTGTTTTTAGTCAGTGAATGAGGTCATAGCAAGCAGGTCTAGCCAATTAGACAAAGAGAAGGCAAAAGAAATTCTAGAAATGGAACTTCTGGGGTCATTTTAAAGGTTTTTATGTTAGTCTTCCCTGGTACTGCTGCTGCTCCATAGAAAACAAGTAGCTCTGGGTATAGCTCTGATTAGGGAGGAGGTTCTCAATCCAAACCCCAAACCTCAGATCTTATTTTATCTCTTCTAACCCCCCCCCCAAAAAAAGTGGGGTTTTTTTCTTTGTAAACATTTTTTTTAAAATGGCCAGTATCAATGCAGATGAATCCCATCAATATTGTACGCATATTGCAGGGGTCAGAGCTGTAGCTGAATGTGGGTTATGCCAACCCAGTAACGTAACCCACTGTTGGTAAACCTGCGGGATGGGGCAGGTGATTAAAGTAGTCTCTGACCATCCTGAAGTGTCGTCCAGTGTTGCTATTCTGGCATATTTCTTATGCTACTGGAGCAATGGACAGGAAGAGCTGGAGTATAGGTTTCTAAGAAGCCTGATCTACCCAAGCTTTGCCACCAGATCTACTAAAGGTGTTCTCTGATGCTGGTTAAGAAAATAAAGAGAGCCTGCTGGATCAGGCCAAGGACCCACCTAGTCCAGCATCCTGTTCTCACAGTGGTAGGGTTGTCATATTTCAAAAAGTGAAAGTCCAGAGGTTTGCTTGTTTATTTGGAGGATTTGCCTTCCCTGGGAAAAAATTCCTGCAGATACACACGCCTACCAGTCAGTGCACAGAAGACTAGATTAGACAGACCACATATAAGGCCACTTCCTATGTTCCTTGATATTGCAGCACGTGTCACACGAATCTTATTACACATGCAAACTGGAGAGCAGCTTCCCTTTCGCCGCCACAAAATGTAGCACAAATGAAGCATGCAAAGGAAGTTTGCAAGATAAAACAGTTGTAAATTTGTTTTTGGAAAAATCCTCAAAGCTATGACTAATTTCTACCAGTTTCAAAGTTACACACCATATGCTTCACGCAGGGAACATTTCTCCACCTTCTTTTTGCCCAATCTGCTGGCTGTTACTCCATCATCTGTCTGAGATTGTTTCATATCTTAGGTTCCTCCATTGTAAACTGCAATTTCCACTGAAAAGCAAAAGCTAATTTTAATTGACAGTGGTCTCATGCTGTTTTAAAAAGAATTAAGTTTGTAGTGTTCCCTAGGAACTGGTATTCAAAGTCATGCCCTCACTGATAACTGAAGGTAGAACACTGACATCAGGCCTAGCAGCCATGGATAGCCTTTCATGTGCTATTTGTAAGCAAAGCATGAAACAAAGATTTTAATGCTGTGTTCAAATGGGGGGGGGGGCGCGGAATCCAGCTTCTATGTCTACATGGAGGGCAGAACTACACGGACATAAGAAAACATGGGATTCCCAATCCCATGTTTTACTAGCAAGGAAAATGCAATGATGGGGCAAATGCAAAGGAGAATCAGGGAAGGAAGAAAGTGCATAACTCTGACTTGTAGCACATTACCTTTTCGTTTTCCCTCCTCAACCCTTTTTCCTTTTGTGCTGTGTTTTGGATTAAAAAGCTGTGGACAGGGACCGTCTTGCTCTCATGTAAAGCATTTTGGGATCCTTTTTGGCTTAAGAGCAGGGTAAGATGATTTAAATGGATAAAATAATAACAACTAACTCAACCACTTAATTGCCTAGTTTTCCAGTTCTTATTGGTATCTCTGCAGGATCTTGTTCTGAAGATGGTCCAAACAGATTGTGGCAGAGAAATTCTGTCGTCTCATGCCCCTGGGAGTAAATCATTGAGCCTTTGAGTCACAAATGCAATGGCACTGTTAATTCAGATCCACGCAGGTTGCACGATATGGATTGGTTCAAAGCAACAGGCCCTTCTGCTTCTTCACATGGGCACGTCACCTAGATATGCAGATTATGGAAGCCGAAACAAAAAGATTGAGAGGCATGGCCTTCACAGCTGATAAATGCAATGCACTGATAGCACTTTTGAAGATGATATGCTACTATCATGCTGCGTTTTAGCTGTGGAGCCATCAGAAGAGTTACATGATGCAAGATAAGGGAGAGGATCACTTCCTCCCTCTGTGGTTTGTCTGGCTGAGTTGCTAAAAAAAGGCTGAGCAGAATATCCTGGCAAGCCTGCCGTCAGCATGGACCAAGAAGTGGTGGGGTACATTGTCCTCCTGGTCATCGTTACGCTTTTAAGCGTCGTCCAAAATGGTAAGAAAGAACAAGGGGGGTGGGAGGTCAGAAAAAGAGGCAGACCTGAGCATTAGGCATGGGATGAGAAAGACTTGAATGCAAGCATTTAAATAATAATAATCTGTATTTGTACATGTTGTTTCAGAGCTGCTCTCAGAATCCCACCCCTCTTTTTGTTGATTTGTCTGGGTTTTAAATTAAATACCGTACTTGCAATGTGTGTTCCAGATTCCTTAGCTTAGCAATATTGTCACTAAGTTCCATGTTAAATTAACACTAAGAGAATGGCAGGGGGAAGAATCTCACATGTGGCAGGTCGCAGGCTGGCGGGGATGGAAATGTTCCTTCTGCTGCCTAGGTTGACTGGCAGTGGGAGGTGGGCTCCCTTAGGTGGGGGGGGACCAGACTCTTACCTGCAGGGAAACACTGAGCAGGGCTAACCCCTCACCTAGCATCAATGCCAGCATCACCTTAGCTGCTCTACACCAATTCAGTACCATCTTGTCGGTACTGACCAGCAATGATCAACTCCTGCCCGGAAACCAATGTCCCCACTGCTGAAGGATGTGTGGATCCAGAATTGGCCTCCACAGTCACTTACGGACTCATTGTTAAAACCGTGTTTATGGAAGACAATCTTACTCGACTACGAGTGATCGCCAAAGAAGAAGAAGAAGAAGCAGTGACTCTGGGGTTTCAGACTGGGCTCTTTCCCATCGCCACTGGGAGAAGCTGCCTGTGGATTGGACCTGGGAACCTTTTTCTTTCAAAGCTGCTGCCCTTCCACATTTCCTCTTCCCTGCTGCACTGAACTTTTTGGGTTCAGTGAGGAGTAGCGAGGAGAGAAGGGGATTAGTGGAGAATGGTATTTCTGAGTTGTTGTTTTTAGAAAAACTTCAACTTACATTCTCTCCAACTCACAGATCCTCACACCCAGCAACATTATGCAGTGGTACCTCAGGTTACATACGCTTCAGGTTACAGACTCTGCTAACCCAGAAATAGTCCTTCAGGTTAAGAACTTTGCTTCAGGATGAGAACAGAAATCGTGCTCCAGCGGTGCGGTGGCAGCAGGGTGCCCCATTAGCTAAAGTGGTGCTTCAGGTTAAGAATAGTTTCAGGTTATGAAAAGTTATGTGGTTTTTAGCTATAACGCTATAAGGAGTATGGAAAGAAAACAAAATTGGACTATTAACAGACAAAAATTTTATGTTACTTTATTTTAAGATCAAAGATTAGGATAAAACAAAGAGGGGAAGGATTTGCTGAACTAATAAATCGAACTGGAATACAAAAAGGGAGGTGTGAGGAGGTCCGGGAAATAAGCAAATGAAAGAAAGTGATGGAAAGATGGAATTGTTTTTTATCTATTTTGATTTTGTATTTTTCTTTTTTCATGTTGTAAAATTCTAATAAATATCTTTAAAAAAAAAAAAAGAATAGTTTCAGGTTAAGAACGGACCTCCGGAACGAATTAAGTACTTAACCCGAGGTACCACTGTATATGCAACAGTGAGCATAAAGTCCAGAAGGAGAACAAAAAGTTTGAGAAGCAGTAGAGGGAGAAGGAGATTCTATTTAGAGCACCAAGCTGCCCTTTTAGACAAGTTTGTTCTGGATCCTGGAGGGACGCCGTTGATCACTGAAACCGTATCTACGTTATAGTGACTAACAACCTGCAGCAAAATGTTTGTGTTTCTCGGCATTCTTCAGATGCCCCAACATGACTCAGAGGGTGCTGTGGCCACGGTGGTAGATGCAGGACACTGATTTAGCAACACAGCTAGTAGCACCGTTCTCTGTCCTGCTCTCATCTTGAATAAGCAGCATGAGATCAGTGCAATTATGTAAAGGAGTCAGGCTCTGTGCCTGGAGGCCATTCTTCTTATGTTAAATTCTCAGGATACTGCATCAAGGCAGCAAGGAGTATCCGATTCCCAAGCACACTGAATTGGTAACCCAAGAACTACCAATTCAGGTAGGAACCAAGGCTGAAGGCCTTACTGAAATTGCTGCAGGGCTTTCCAAGGCTAGAGAGACATTGTGTGCATTTTTCAAAGAAAAGCACAGCAGTTTTAGTAACAGCTAAGGCAACAGAACTTGGGAGATTTGCAACCCACTTAAAAACCAGCCTTATGTTTTGGAGTCCCAGCACCATTATTGAAATTTTAAAAAGCAGTTTGAGAGAGGGGGTTTTCAGCAGAGGAATGAAAGGAGTTCTTAATCTTTCCTTCCCGATAATTTCAGTGGCTCTCAGCCGTATTATCAGGCTTAGATTGGTGTCGGTTACTGCTGGACTCTGGGCTCATGAAAGGTGCCTCTGGACCTTCACACCTTACAAAGACCCCTGCAAGACTACCAACAGCAATGCTTGTTTGTCTGGATAGGGATAACATATTCCAGGCATTGGTTTTCCATATATATTGACTTTCCTTGCTTTACTATCCCAAATTCCATTCCTTCAAGCCATCCAAAAATTGAAAGTGATATTTGTGAAACATTAAGTTGATATTTTGTTAAGTCATTGTTTGATGTTACTATGTTACAGAAATATTCTGATTTATAATTTAACTGTTTATTACATCACATTTTTGGAAAAATTAATTTGCATTGCATTGGTTTATGGAACTCTTTGTTTTTTCTGTCTTTGACATTGTTGCTTAGCCACTTTGGGTTTCCCACAGGTAGGAAAAGTGAGACATTAATATGGAAATGAAATGAAAGTAAGTCTTTCTTTCTTTTCTTTTCCTTTCCCTTCCTTTCCTTTCTTCTAAAACAGCCTTTTTTGCAAGCAAAGTAGAACAGGAAAGCAAGAACAGTACGGGCAAAATTGTTCACCGTGGCGGTACATCTCCCTTCGAGCGAGTCTTTACAGCCAAGTGAGTATTTATTTTGCGTGTCATGGGAAAGAGGAGTGAAATGGCAAACAATACAGCTGTAATTGCTGCAGACACAAGGCTTGTATCTAAAGAGAGATTCTGGGGCCCAAATTTGCTTTGATACTATTCCTACCCACCACCCCCATCCCAGAAAGCTGGCCTTCTAAGACTTTGAGTAGATCCACACCATACATTTAAAGCGTATTCAATGCATATTTAAAGCAGTTGACTTCCCCCAGAGAATCCTGGGGACTCTGGCTCTGTTAGATGTTCCCAGGAGTAATTGGGGAAGTCATGTGCTTTAAATGTGCATTGGGTGTCCTTTAAATGTACGGTGTGGCTCTCTCCTTCATGTTGTTGTTGACTCCGGTTTCTGAAACACAATGGCCTTGCTAGTTAGGAGAATGAGATGAAGTAAGGCTTGTTCTTATGCTCACCCCTTACCTCATCTGGCCCAGCCACCAGGATGGATCTGGAAGGTTTTGCTCACATTTTAGATTAACCACAGTTTGTTATGATGTTCATACCTGGACAATACAGTGGTACCTCGGGTTACATACACTTCAGGTTCCAGACTCTGCTAACCCGGAAACAGTGCTTCAGGTTAAGAACTTTGCTTCAGGATGAGAACAGAAATCGTGCTCTGGTGGCACGGCAGCAGCGCGAGGCCTCATTAGCTAAAGTGGTGCTTCAGGTTAAGAACGGACCTCCGGAACGAATTAAGTACTTAACCCGAGGTACCGCTGTATGTGGTTAGTCTTAACCATGGCTTGCTGAAATGAGCCAACCTGAAATCAAGGTTTACCTAGCTAACAAACCATGGTTCCGATTAAAAGCTTCCTTCCCCAGTTGTCTTGTGTTTCAATTTGTGCACTGTACCTACGTCAAAAAAAATTGTAGATAACAGTTGTGACATGAACATCCCTTTGAGATTACTATCTTTCTGATTTTACATTAAGCTTCCCTGTGATTGGCAGGCACCTTGTCCTTTGCTTCGAATTGCATGGATACGTTTCCTTGCCCTCAGTATGACGATATCCCTTTCTAAAAATAATTTCCTAGCCAAAACTGCAGAGACGCCTACCCTACCTTTCTTGCCGTGCTTTGGTGTGCTGGCTTGCTGTGTAGTCAAGGTAATGTATTCAGAGCCCTCTTCACGCCATCTCCCCAGGGGGGTGTACACATTGCCTGATAATGTGCATTCAGTGCTGGATGCAGGCATGCTTGGGAGGGGGCTGCGCACATGATGTTGTCCCTGCGACGTCCCTGGTTAAGCTAAAGTGCATTCTCCATGGTTTTAATCCGTTTTGTGCAAAGAGCGCACGTCTCAAGCGCTTGCTGCATTCAAATATACACAGAGAGTGTTTTCTTAGGTCACCTCCTACTGGGGAAGACCTCATCATGGTGCAAGACCGGGCCACTTCCTCTCTCCTATAAGACCTCCGCAGAATATTGTAATGCATGGGGGGGGGGAGGAAGGAAGTTACATCATTTCCACCAGAGCTTGGGAGGTGGGTGACTAACCTAATGAGGGGAGGGGAGCAGAGCACCTTCATGTGTACTACTTCATATGCACTCCCACCTGTAAGTACAGACAACACAAGCAGTATTTCCTGCTTTGGGCAACGTTATTGTGCCAAGGGATGCACAACCGCAAGTCACTGTCGACAAAAGCGCTCTGCAAAAAAGAGAGAGCCCTGTGCGTTTCAGATCCTGCATGTGTACATAGCCTAGGTTTTGCATTTATCAAGGCAAAATAGCAAATACTGCAGTTTCCTCTCTTTTTTTATTGATACAGCAGGAAAAGTAAAAAGAGAAAACACAAATACCAAAGTACACACAGGAATAACAATAGACACAATTTTTTCTTAACAAACAGTAAGACATAAATTGGTCTTAACACTAAAGACCCAACCTCCCGTCTATTCCATATTTCGATTTCATATAACTTATTGCCAATACACACTTTTATCATAATTAAACTTTTCCTTAATATATCTTAATTCTTATATCTGCCTTGCAACTATTACTGAAGTTCCTCGAATGCTGCAACCGAGTTTAAACTACTATATTTCTATTTCCACAGGGCTTGTCCTCTGAAAGCCATAATAGTTAAACCACTTTGAATCGTTGAAACAAAATAAAAAAATTCCTTCCAGTAGCACCTTAGAGACCAACTAAGTTTGTTATTGGTATGAGCTTTCATGTGCATGGTATCTGAAGAAGTGTGCATGCACATGAAAGCTCATACCAATAACAAACTTAGTTGAATCGTGCTCAAGGCTGCATTTTAATCCAAGTGAAGTGACAATGTCTAATGACAAATGCCTTTCCTAATTCTCTTTAGCTCCTGCTGCCTTTGCGGGACTGATGTACTTGTTTGTGAGACAGAAGTACTTTGTCGGCTATATGGGGGAAAGGACACAGAGGTAATTCCCCACTTACATCTTCTCAAAAGTTCTAAGATGGCGGCTCACTTGTCCATTCCTTGTTTTCCCCCCTCCCCCCCCCCATAACAAGAGATGTTCTGGCTCTCCTTATGTTATTGGACTACAGATTCTATTGCCACCCTTTAGGAGAAAGGGCAGGGTAGAAATGGAAATAAATTTAACAATTCCAGCCCATTGGCCATGTTGGCTGGGGCTGATGGGAGTTGGAGTCCACCAATGTCTGGAGGCCCATCGATTTCCTGCCACTATTCTAGATTCTCCTAATCAGTTTGTCAGGCTTATTTTGACATTGTGTTTTCCTTTTCACCTAGAATAATGCCTGCAGAGAAATACATGTGGGAAATTGCTTCTTTGGAATGTAGATTTTTCAGTAATGAAAATATGAGAAAAGAGCACTTCTTGTGTATTTCTCTGTGTTTTCCCTCCACGGAGCAAAAATATACGCTCACATTCATTTAAAGCACTCTTATACCACTTTAATGGTCACGGCTTCTAGTCCTAGACTAGACCCTTCACCTTCCCTTTCGATCCTGATTGTATTTCACAAGACTGGATGTCATGGGTGTTATTGTTACTGCTGTATCAGCTCTCAACTGCACACACTGGAGTTGTATGATGTTTAGGCACCATTAGAATTACAGCAGTCAGTGTCCTCACTGGTGTGGCAATGCAAAATCCCTGAAGGTAAAATGAGCCCGCAACCCTAAATCTGCAAAACCCCACTGAAGTCAATGGACCTTACACAGAGGGTCTCTGGTTGTCTTATACTGCTTGGCTTCCACATACCCTATCACGTTCCTGAATTAAATATGCAAGGCTATTGAATTTTGTTTCAAGTATAATCAGTGACTATCATTTTTAATAGCTAGGATAAGATATATACGTCTCTTAAATGGAACAGTCTTGGTTACTGAGATGCATAAATTTTGCCCTGTGCACCAAATTCATCTGCTGATTTACACCTGCACGGCTCACTCAAAATTAATTGTGCTTGCCAAGACATACATCAGTGCAGAGTTTGACCCCATTAATCTGAACATCTGAGCTCTATTTAAGTTGAGCTTGACCTTCATGACAGATAGAGAGCTTTAGCTTGTTTCTTGCAAATCAATATATTCTTACCTACTGCTTTTTCTCTCTCTTTCTCTCTTAGCACTCCTGGTTACATTTTTGGAAAACGCATCATAGCTTTCCTGTTCCTTATGTCTGCCGCTGGAGTCCTCAACTATTACCTGGGTTACTTTTTTGGAAGCGATTTTCAAATGTATATAAAAACCATAACTGGTACCATCTCCCCACTGCTGCTTATTCCTTAAATCTCTGTAGAAAGAGAGGGAAGGAGGTGAAAGAGAATGGAGGTCAGTGTGCTTAGCCAATCAATATCCAGAAGCAGATGTTTGAAATGAACCTACAAAGCTGCTTTTAGATTGCCATAAATCCAATGCTCCTTGGGACTTTGTAGTTTTCATTTAACACAGATTTTTCCCCCCTACAAGAAAATGATTTATTGTGCACAGTTGGCATGTCTTTGGTAGAAGAGTAATATGTTCCTGTAATTTATCAGGCTCCCTCCTATAAATGGGTTTGGTCACTGAATTCTTAAGTGCAAGGAAATTTTTATGCTGCCATCATTAAAAAATTTTTTACAAGATTCTAAGACATAATGCTTGATTTTTTTAGTCTTCTTGAATTTGTAATTCCTATGATAGTTAATGGCACTGAGGCTTCACATTTTGGTAGAAACAGAACCAGCCATCTGGCTCAAATCCCTATTTTTATCATTACCATGTTGGCTTAATATACATAAGAATAAAGTATGGTATATGTTTTGGAACACGCTGTTATTTTAATAAAGTTATTTACAGTGACAAAACGATTACTTTTATTCTTTGATCCCTGTCATTCCTGAAGTCCACAATGTTTTTATCGGACCAAATCATGTCCAAAGTGCTGGGTGTGATTTTGAGAGGTAACACAAAATCTTCGCCAGGTGTAAGAGTTTAAAGCAAAAACAGCAAAAATAAAAATGCATGAAAGTGTTATATGACAAGCTTTGGTAATATTGGTTAAAACTGGTTGTGTGAACAGGGAACAGATTTAAAGTCACTCAATACTCAAATGATATACATCATTATTTCCTTTTTATGTATAATATGCTAATTAACATTGATATTGATGCTAATTAACAAGAACAAGATAAAACTAGAATGACTACCCAGTCTTCTGTCCACCCTGTTTTTAATTTTTTTTTCCTGTTCAGAGACTTGTAGTGAACACATAGCAGGTTTCCCCCACTTTTTCATTTTCTGAAGAGCATCACTTATTCTGCCCCCCATGTTTCTTTTGCTAGTTCTGTTTTAATTCTGGGGAAATTGAAAAGCAATGTGCAATACAGCACATTCAGGGGGGAGCTGTTTTGCTCATAAAAGAAAACAAGTGTTCATCCTGTCTTTGCATTTCCTTAGATCAAGGTTCATATTTCTTATAAAGCATTTTCTGATGGCCTTTATTGTCAGTCAGTGCACATAATATGTCAACAGCTACCATTTAGGGGTGGCATGGCACTGGTGACATTTTTGTCTCCCATCTAGTGCAGGATATTTACCAAAATAAACAAACAAAACCAAAAATTCCTAACTCATTACAGCAGGGCCACTGATGCGCTGGATGGTATTAATCATATCTTTACAACTTTCTGCCTGCTAGCATAAACAGAGTATATAAACATTGATCATCTTGTGTAATTGATCTCAGACTGCTTTTTCCACTCACATAGCAAGCTTGAATGATCAGATTGGACCTGTGGAGCCACAATGTCTGTTCTGTGAAGTATGATGGGTCTGAAATGTTTTGAAATTAAAAAATGAACAAACCAAAAAATCAGTATGTAATGCTATAAAAGTAATAAAGAAGGGTCCTTTAAGTAATGTCCTTTGCTATAGGGAATGTGCGGCAATCTTAAGCAATAAATGAATGTGCCACTGCCACCCAAATATTTTTAGCCATTCCAAACACCTGCTTGTCTTTATACAGGTGATGCACCTGCTGTTCCCCTGCTCCTTAGAATGGAGTTATCTCCACTGCAGTCAGCATCACTGCAGGAAAGAGCGGCCCTATAGGGTCAAACCTGACCCATGCTTCAGAGGCAGAGAACAGACTTCCAGGCAAAAAATAGCAAGTTTGCAAGAAGGTGCCATTTGCGATTCATTAAAAATAAGATTTCTTTCATTCTCATGTGGCTTCACAGAACCTTCCTGGCGTCGTTGCCACAAAAGAAAGCTTTTATAATGACCTCAAGGCTGAGATGTGCCTGGAACCTGCCCTCTTGAAAGCATTCTACACGCTTTCTAATCAAAACCTGATTTGAACCTTGCCTAGCTACCCAGTGAGTGGGACTGAACATATCTCACTTCATGCGCTGAGCTGATCATTACTACATGAAAACTGGGAAGCACTTTTCTGTAGGAAATAATAAGCACCAAATATTGTCGGTTGCATGTTAGTTTTTAAAATGGAATTTATTCATCCTATTGTATTATTTTATATTGCTGTCCTTCTTTTCCACAGATGATATCCGATTTTATTTCATTATGTTTGTGGACTGCTGTAGTTTTTTGGGGGTGGGAGGGGTTGAACATGCTCAAAAAGCTGCATAGAAAGATGTATCTATAGTAAGAACATAAGAAGAGCCTGCTGGATCAGGCCAATGGCCCATCAAGTCCAGCATCCTGTTCTCACAGTGGCTGAACAGATGGCTCTGAGAAGTCCACAAGAAGGAACTGAAAGGAATAGAACTATGTTGTTGTTGTTGTTTAGTCGTCTAGTCGTGTTTGACTCTTCGTGACCCCATGGACCAGAGCACGCCAGGCACTCCTGTCTTCCACTGCCTCCTGCAGTTTGGTCAAACTAATGCTGGTAGCTTCGAGAACACTGTCCAACCATCTTGTCCTCTGTCATCCCCTTCTCCTTGTGCCCTCCATCTTTCCCAACATCAGGGTCTTTTCCAGGGAGTCTTCTCTTCTCATGAGGTGGTCAAAGTATTGGAGCCTCAGCTTCACGATCTGTCCTTCCAGTGAGCACTCAGGGCTGATTTCCTCCAGAATGGATAGGTTTGATCTTCTTGCAGTCCATGGGACTCTCAAGAGTCTCCTCCAGCACCATAATTCAAAAGCATCAATTCTTCGGCGATCAGCCTTCTTTATGGTCCAGCTCTCACTTCCATATATCACTACTAGGAAAACCATAGCTTTAACTATACAGACCTTTGTTGGCAAGGTGATGTCTCTGCTTTTTAAGATGCTGTCTAGGTTTGTGTTATGTACTGAGTTGAATAGGATCCAAAAGGCAGCAGTCTGATTGGTCCTAGAACAATAGGATCCAAAAGGCAGCAGTCTGATTGGTCCTAGAACAATAGGATTCAGAATGCAGCAGTCTGATTGGTCCTAGAACAATGCAGCAGTATGATTGGTTGGCAGGAACTACCCAATCATGCTCCAGATAGAAGTGAATCCACAACCGGATTGGCTTACAGTAGAATTCCGGAATTAGCCAATCATGTGCAGCCCATTGTGTAAATAATGTATATAAAGCAGATACTTTGAGGGGTCTTTCATTCATTCCTCCTCACCACTACGAGCTGAATAAAGAGCATGAAATCACTTTGCAACTCTGAGTATATTTCAGTTTGTCATTGCTTTTCTCCCAAGAAGCAGACCTTTTAATTTCGTGACTGCTGTCACCATCTGCAGTGCTCATGGGGCCCAAGAAGGTAAAATCTCTCACTGCCTCCATTTCTTCTCCTTCTATTTGCCAGGAGGTGATGGGCCCAGTGGCCATGATCTTCGTTTTTTTTATATTGAGCTTAAGACCATATTTTGCGCTCTTCTCTTTCACCCTCATTAAAAGGTTCTTTAATTGCTCCTCACTTTCTGCCATCAAGGTTGTGTCATCTGCATATCTGCATAGCACTCTCCTCTCCTGCAAATTCCAACCATTCAGAAGCATACTGTCTCCAGCATGGAGGCAGAACATAGCCATTTTGGCTAGTAACTATTGGCAGCCTTGTCCTCAGCGAGTTTGTCTAATCCTCTTTTAAAGCCATCCAAATTGGTGACCATGACTGCCTCCTGCAGGAATAAATTCCATAGTTTTAACTCTGCACTGCCTGAAGAAGTACTTTCTTCGGCCTCTCTTGAATTCTCCAACATTCAGCTTCATTTGAAGTCCACAAGTTGTAGTGTTATTCGAGGGCGGTTTATTTATTTATTTTTGCAAGGAATTGTGCTGCAAGAAAGGGTTTTGCATATCAAGCTGTACATTTGAATCATCCAGAATCCCAATATGCTGTAGTTTCGCCAGTGATGGATAGGGATTTTCTCAGCAGCTTGAGAACAAAGGTGAGTGAAGTCATTGCTGTTAACGATTCCTCTCATCTTTCTCAGACTGCTACTTCTGAAATCAGCAACTTAAAAAACAACAACACAGCCATATGATGTGCTGCGACGCTCTTCCACAGAGCCTTGATTAAACCTAAAGTTGCTCAGAAAGTGTTCCGCTGTGCAAATGCTTCTGTAATTTTCATTTACTCCTGTACGCGACTTTGCATATATTTGCCTGGTGAGATCTGTCGAGTTTATAGAACAAAGGCATTCTCAGAAGGGATCCTAAAAGTGTTGCTACAGGCATGTTACATTACTACCAAGAATTCATTTCTCCACAAATATAACACAAGGAAAACCTGCACCAAAGTTGTTGTGTGGAGTCCTCCTGTTCAGGGTCCGAGCTAGCTGCACCCTCTCCCAGGATACTCCATTCCATTTCCCTCCCCTGGTTTTTATTTCCCTCCCAAAGCAGTTCTCCAGCTTCTCAGGAGGGTGTCCTTCCCATCTCTTGCTAGCTGCTTACTTCCATTTAAATGTCAGAGGGATAATGTATGGAGATGTCTGGGGTATTGCAGATGGGACTGGCAAGGGGGGCAAAGAGAGGAATGTTCTACCTAGAGGAAATACTTGGCTTGAACAATGGCTGGAAGCACTCCTTTTCTGGAGGGAGGATATACTGCAACATTTTGATGAAGGCTTCACTTGTTATGGGCTATACATAGCATACATAAGCTATCTCATTTACTGGAGCCTACTGGAGCTGTGCTTTGCTTGATAGGTAAAAAGGTAAAGGACCCCTGGACGGTTAAGTCCAGTCAAAGGCGACTATGGGTGTTATGTACTGAGTTGAATAGGATCCAAACTGCAGCAGTCTGATTGGTCCTAGAACAATAGGATCCAAAAGGCAGCAGTCTGATTGGTCCTAGAACAATAGGATTCAGAATGCAGCAGTCTGATTGGTCCTAGAACAATGCAGCAGTATGATTGGTTGGCAGGAACCACCCAATCATGCTCCAGATAGAAGTGAATCCACAACCTGATTGGCTTACAGTAGAATTCCGGAATTAGCCAATCATGTGCAGCCCATTGTGTAAATAATGTATATAAAGCAGATACTCTGAGGGGACATTCATTCATTCCTCCTCACCACTATGAGCTGAATAAAGAGCATGAAATCACTTTGCGACTCTGAGTATATTCCACTGGCGACGAAGGTGGGATCCCGCTGAGCTGACGGCCACACACAGCACCGCTGCACCGCCACCTGCCACACCGCTGCCTCGCACCGTGTATCCAGGCTTCAGCTCCGGGACACAAGGAACTCAGAATGGCAACCGACAGCAGCTTCTCGCCGTTCAACCCAGCATCTGGAGACTGGGAAGCGTACGCCTCCTGTTTCACCTTCCTCCTAGAAGCCAAAGGGGTCACCGATGAAGAAGACGCCAAGAAGAGGGCAATATTCTTCAGCGTCTGCGGAG